GTTGTGTTGACAAGCGGAATGTTAATTAAGTTACTCCGATCCACTTTCCGACCTTCAGCCTTGACGAAACGGCGGCCTTGCATCACCGGGATTTTCTTGGTTGAGGTGGATCGTGAAATTCGAGCACTATGTTGCCTACGGTACTTCAGAATGCCGAGTGACTTGAACTGAGATAGAACGGCCGGAGATGGCTTGAAAGCTTTGTTTCGGAGAGACAAGAGTTCAGAGCATTTCAAAGACGCTGGCTTGGTTCGCATTAACATCGAATAGTTCTTATTAACTCCTCCGAAACTCCTGTCTGTCTCTGGACCCGGTTGTGACTCGACGTCCATATCTATAGTGATATCTAGCGTGATATATTTCTCCGGTACTGCAAGCAAGGTTAGACCATGGACGCCCCCACAACACCACCGGCCGGCGAACTCTAAATTTAGGAGTAGTCGAGTTGAATAAAATATGTTTGAGAAGCCAAGGACTTTCAGCTCTCCTAGAGTGATAATTGTAGGATTCTTGGGAAGCATTCAAAACGAAAAGAACGCCAAAAATGGTAAATAGGCGAAGAGCTCCAGAAAACGTGGCAGCCATGTTGGCGCCTTTACAATACCCAATAAGGGGGACGGTCATCCAAACCCTAACATTAAGGGGGATGGGGGACACGTCTAAAAAGCAATCCGGAACCACCACTACCGTCTCTAGGACTCAAACTTAACAAAGCTCTGAAAATCGTAATGGCACTTCAAAACTATCTTTTATAAACAAACCAACCAACCAACAGATTACCAACCTTGAAAAGGGCGATGTCGATTATAAAGATTTATGACCCTTATCTAACGCTCCACTTGATCATATACAGCCTGGATAAATATTTTGCGGTATGCAAGTGTAAACATATTTCTACATCTGTTCTTTCGAAAAGCCTTTCACTACTCACAGAAAAGAAGATAGATCCCTTTGCATGAATCATTCTTAATTACCTGAAGCGATTTGCTGGAACCATTAAATCCAGGGGTTGGCTGTAGTAAATCAGATGTCTCGTCAGATGAAAAATCCGAACTTCTGGATTCCTCCTTTTAATCACTTGATTGTCAGAATAATTTAAAAAACAACAAAAATTCAATTATAACCTACACCGGTTCTAGACCCACAGCATGGTGCAACTACAACGCGGGACACACCCCATCCTAACGTAGTACAAAGGCGCAAGTACAATAAGGGACGCACCCCATCCTAACATAGTACAAAGGCGCAACTACAATAACGGATCCACCCCATCCTAACATAGTACAGAGGCGCAACAACAATAACGGACCCACCCCATCCTAACATGGTACAAAGGCGCAACTACAATAAATTAAGGGACCTACCCCATCCTAACATAGTACAAAAGCGCAACTACAACATGAAATCCACACCAGCCTTACTTGCTGCGAGAAACGGACGGAAGCATCGATAGACTTACATTTGAGATTATGACAAATATACACTAGTGTCTGTATAGTAAACAACTCTTTGGGTCGCATTACCTCGAGAGACACTCTCGTTGCCTTCTTCATAGCCTCCTCCTCATCTTCCCTTTGGTAAGTCCTTAACCACGTAGGACTTGGCTCTCCATTCTCCCAATTCAGAGAAGTTCTCCTTACAACATCAGCGTTGCTCTTACTTCGGTCCATAACAAAGTAGTTTTGAAGCGATCGAAAGCAAAATGTGAGCAAAGCCTAATCACGTATTCTTGTGGGAAAAATTCGCGGGGTGGGGTATTCCCATATATGGGCTATATAGGAATGTGCCGCTGTGTAGGGTTTGGTTTTCATGCAGTTTACTCTAGGATAGGGTATTTAAATCATAGCTTTTAGGTCTAGAATAGGGTATAATTTTTCATGAAATTGATTAGTTGTTTTATCTGGACTAGGGAAACCGGGAATTGCCACTCAAACATATAAAAAGTCAAATCGGCAAGTTGAATTACGCAACTCAGCCCCGGGAGTAAAAGCAAAGAAAGTGTCAATAGATGGCTATCATAAAACAGTACTGAATATTATTAACTGTCAAAAATCGGGATTCAGACGGAAATCGCGCGGTGGTTTGAATACTGGTGAAAGTCAAACAATTTATTCTTTTTGATAATGGCGTACGTGCGTGTCTGGTATAGCTCAGCTCTGGAGCTCAGCATGTAACCTGCGACGCAAAAACAGCTACTCTACGATGGGGGTGGGGGTGGGGGAGTTTAGTTAAGTATAGGGTAGCGAAATTCAGCTGGAATAGCTGTATAGGTGAAGGGTTCCAGGATCCCAGCGACACATCCCCACCCAAAATATCCTAAAGAAACCCCACCCCACCCCCCTCGGGGGAGAAAAATTCTGTCGATATAAGGTAGCGTAATTGCCTATCAGAGCTGTTTGTGGGAATTGCTCTTTCTTTCAGATGTTTTCTCACTTTTTACCCGTAGGAAAAAAAAACATATAGTCGAAGGGTGAATCTGCTAATGCATGGCATTTATTACGTAGTGAGATTGATTTCAATTCTCACCCGCTGTTCACGGGTGCTTGTCCGCAATGGCCGTAAAAGAAAAGAAACTCACATATTCTCTCTCTTAAGACAAAAAGAAATTGGCAGTGTAATATATTTTTTACAGCCTTTCTTGGCTCATATAGCACGACAGGTCGATATTGTCAGCCAAAGAACCGGGACGCGGACAGTGGACGTGACGTACAAAATTTGCCTTGATTTCGTAAAAACATCGCCATCCGGTCTCACGAAATGCGATGACTCGTATTTTCTAAGTCCAAGAAAGAGAAGAAAGGGACCATGGGAACATGGGCTGCGGAAAAAAAAACAAACAAACAAGAAAAGGGACCCTCGACATAAAATAAGGGACCCTCGACTAAATACCCTCGACCTCGACATAAGACCCTCGACCCTCGACGGCTCGACCAAAAGTTAGACTCAAGAAAATGACAGGAAATTCTATAGTTACCTTTTATGTGGTTACTTCGTAAACTAGAAAAAATACAAAATGCTCTTCTGATCTCATCTTTCTGAAAAAAAAAAATCGATAATGTCGGCCTACGTCCGTAGTCGGTTAATTTTTTTCTGCCGATACTCGGTAATTTTTTTTTTCGTTTTGTCACGGTAATCAGTAGTCAGTATTTTTCGCCCTTTGTCGCTAGTTGGTTAACCCCATTCACACCTTCATGATTGGTGTTCAGCCTTTTGTTAATAACCCCAGCTCGCAAGAAAGGTAAACTGAGTACTGACGCGTATTATTTTCCTCAATTCTTGTATTACATAAATGAATATTGTGGTGGTGTCCTTCAATTCAGTTATCTTTTTATTTCACCAAGTGTCTTATTTGTTAATGGAGACCAAAACATTGACTGGTAAGTCATGGACCTACATAAAAAAAATATTTATCTCTTGCAAGGGTTTTTAACAGGTGGAATTAACCTACAATATAAATAAGCGTCTATAAACAACGCAGAGCTCGAAATTTGAGAAGAGAAGAGCCAACAACTTTGCCGTTGCATCCAGTCGTATTAATTTAAAAGGTAAATCGATAACTATTTTGTTGTAATAACATTAGCTCGAGTCGGATAACAGGCGTTCAGTAGGTAAGTCAGAAGGCTTTCTAACTTTCAGACAAGCTCTGAAATGTGAGTTTTGACGAAGAGAAGACTTTTACAGCATCAAAAAACATTGACTTTATAGAGATTTTGTTTTGAGTCAAAATTTCATCTTCCATTCCCAAAAAAAAAAACAGACATGCCATCTAACTGATCGTTGAAAGGCTCGGTTGTAATTCAGTCGGTAAACCTGGAAAGAGGTTTTTAAGTAACTGTAGTACGTTTTTATCATCCTCTCTAGGTACCCCGTAATCGCCTTAAAACAACCCTTGCCCATAACGAGACTTATCAAGGGAATAGTGTTTTGGTATGCTCACAGCTGACTGAATTTGTATTTGATAGTTATCTCATGACAGTTCTCACAAGGGTTTTTAATGTTACCTTCAATTTTGTACGCATGCATTCGCGTTTATAGGTGCAACAGGCTTTGCTCAGTTACATTGGTACATTGATCACACTCGCGAATTAACTTCACTGTATCTTCATAAGTTAAAACGGAAAGAAAATAATAACCAACAATATCCGCAGAAAATATCCGTTCTCTATTTAGCAATGTTCATTTCCCCAGGTTGAACTAGAAAAAGACGCGAAGTTTATAGATACAATGGTTATTGTAAAAACAAATAACAGGAAAATTCCACACAGGTAAGGTTGACTGAAATTATTTGATGAAAATATTCTCTTAATCTGTTTGCTGCCTTCATTTTCTTGGCTTGTTGGGTGCCAGCTATAAAAAGGGACTCAAAAATACAAATTACAGAGCGCGGCAAGTTCTTAGCTGTCCTTGATCAACCTAGCTAATTGAGTGAACTCAAATAAATGCTCATGAAATCAAGTTTTACAGACCATCGTAACATGATGTTAACTGCAAAATATATTTTCTAGATGTGCTTTGCCATCTGCGTATAATAATTGTTCTCCATGGGCCTGGGACTGGTGGCTTAAATATGGCCAAGATGACGTCATCATCAAAGGAGAGGAGACTGCGCAACAGCATACAACCAACACTGCTGACCAAGAGCAGGCTTCGACAGACCTCTCCGAAAATAAAAATTTACGACAAAACTAAATGTAGTTTGATTCAGAACGAGCCAATTCGCCAAGCTAGCTTGGTACTTTTATTTAGGGTGAGAATTTCAATTTCGAAGTTTCTCAACAGCACGAATTCTTGGTCTGTTGTTGATGGGCCGTTATCAGTTTTATCATGCCACCTTCACAGTTTAAATGCGCTGTATAAACGTGAAATGAACGTACAACCATCCAGTGATACTGGTGCAGTACTGTAAACAACAGAACCACTGAGAGCAGGTCTTTTTGTGAGTTCAGGCTTTGCTCTCACATCTTTCTTAGACTATATGTTTATAACATCGATGATCTTTTAAAATTCATCTCCGTCTGATCGATATCCTTATCAAGTTAACCCACACACATAGGTTATTGTTTGTTATTATCTTTTATGCTACACTTTCGGTTAAACAACTGTTTAGATATTGATTAAATGTCAGAAGTTATCCTGTTCGAAAATATGTCTTCTACCTTCCCTCGTCAAGAAAACGATGTCGTTAAGGTAACCGAGGATATCATCTTGGCGGTTTTATTTTAAACGAAGGTTTTTCGTTGATTTTCGAACTTTGCTAAGGTTGAAATAAGGTTGATTTCTGCTTAAACATTTTTTTTGTCGTGATAACTTTCTTTATCCTCATGTCGGAAGTTCAAGCAGCTTCTTTGTGGACTGAGTTCACGTGGAAGTGATCTCTACATCTGCTGCTAAGTGTCTAAATTGTCTTTGATTTTAATATGAAATCATTACATGAAGGGGATATCGATTTTGACTTTGTCGTCTAATCAATCAATCACCAATAGCGACAGGAAGGGATAGCGAGATAGGGATAGGACAACGGTTAGCACACTAGACTCGGGTCCGAGAGGCCCGAATTCAGGACTTGGCTGGGGTAATACTTTGTTTTCTTGAGTTAGATACTTTAAATCTGACAATGCCTCTCTTCGCCTTGGAATTGAAATGTGTACGTACTGGTATCAGGGAAATCTGAAAAAATTCTGTGCGGATGAGGGTGAGGGGGAGGGGCAACCTTGCATTCGACTGGCCTCCCATTCAGGGGGAGTAGCAATTCTCCTAGCCCCTTCATGCGGAAATCGGACTAAGCCTCGACTTGACCCTTTCTTTTCACCTCTACTAACAGCTGATTCACTCCTCTTTAATTGCGTGCTTACTATGAGGTACACGCTTTTAGATATACAGTCGGCAATCGTGGTCCACCGACTAACCTTGGAAGATTAAAATTCTTGATTAAAATGCTAACCCAAACATCTCCACGAGACTCGTGCAAATGAACAATAGAGTACTTGATACTTTCCAGTAATGCAGTCAATCTTCGAGTCCTTAAGCCAAGATAAGAACTTAGTGTAGGTCCAGTGCAAGGTCAGAGGATTAAAAAAAACAAAACAAAAGGAATCACAACTCGACTACTTTTAAAAACTGACCTTCAAGTTCAAAGAATCTCACAACTAGACAAGACAGTCAAAACCAGGAAACCATCATCAGACTTAGAAAAGCTCGTTCCAGGATATCAAAATCTCGATGAAACCCAAGCATAACACTCTGCATTTGACGAAACGTTTCGTTTCAGCTGCACACTGCAGCAAAATAGCAACAATTTCTCTTCATAGCAAAAGGTGTTTTGTGACTCATCTCAAGTAAGTTGTGCTCTGTGATTGTTGTCGACTGACCGCCGAAGGATCAACTTAATCCTTTCTTAATTAAAGCGCAAGTGCGATTTGAAGAAAGCGTGACTTTGCTCTAAATGATATTGAGAAACATTAAGTACGTCACAAGCCATCTAAGGTATGTTTATTTTTAGCACTATAGTCAGTCGTCGATACTCACGACCGCATTGAGAGTTTCTCGAACCACTTCGAGCCAGAACTTATTGAAAATGCTAGCAGTGAAGGTCTTTCTTCTTGGATTTACTTTAGTTGCAACTGGTAAGTATTTACAAGACATGGTGTGGTGCTGTTCTTCAAAATATTAGACTGCGTTTATGAGGAATGTAAGTCGTAGTTGTTGTCACGTAAGATTTCTTTTGCTCTTTACGTCGAGTTGGGGGCGCTTCCACAGTCATTTTTGACAGAATTGATATGAACTAATTTGACGCTTTTGTAAGAAAATGTCTCTCAGCCGACAATTGACACTTTAATCCACGAAACTAAACTCTACACGCAGATGGTCGCATTTTATTCGACGACTGAAACACACCTCGAAACAACAACCTCGTGGTCGAAAACCTAATTTATATGAGAAAAACTGTTCAGTCCTTCTTTTACACTTTCTCTGAAAACCTCTTTGATCTCTAACTTCCTGTGCCTTCGAACTTCACGGACCCGCGCCGCAATCCTATATTACTATTTAATTCCGAACCCCTATAAAGCATACGTCTCCCAGAGATTGTTTCCTGTTACTGTGGCCGCAACTTGTTTGTCTCTAATTAGCACGCAGTCACGAAATATCGAAACCCCAAATACAGAACCGGCCGGGATTTTTTCGTATAACTTTAGGGGCCGACCATTTAACTTTTGACGGGGGAGGGTGGGTGATTTCTGGTCAGCAAGAATTTTTTTTTCTAGCAATCTGCTGTGCAGGATATTTTTCTCTGTTCTAAATGCATCTTTTTTTCTGTTACATTTGGGCTGCATGCAATTTTTTTCTTCCTACAATAATAATAATAATAATAATAATAATAATAATAATAATAATAATAAAGTATTTATTTAGCGCTAAGCTCGACTAGTTCTCCGTAGCGCTTTACAAAATTATAGACTAATTAACATAGCAATTAAATTATAAAAAATCGTAAATTAAAAAGCGTCTTTGAACAAGTATGTTTGAGGTTCCTCTTGAAAATTGCAACAGATTCAGATGTTTTCAGGGAATATGGTAAATCATTCCAAAGCTAGGGACCGGCAATGGAGAAGGCACGGTCACCATAGTTCTTTGGAAATGTTCTTGGAACCATCAGGAGCATGTTTTCAATTTGTACAAATTGTTCACGGTCCATGAGATATGACTTAATCCATTGGATTACTTTTCCTTTTACACCAAATCTTTGCTCTAGTCTTGACAACAGTATAGAATGGTCTACCGTATCGAAGGCCGCAGATAAGTTTAATAGTAGCAAAACAATAGAATGGTTCGTATCAGCAGCGCGTAGGATATCATTCTGCACTTTAACTAAGGCGGTTTCTGTAGAATGGAAAACTTTATAGGCAGATTGGAACATCTCACCCAAGTGGTGCTTCGATATGTAATCGGTAAGTTGAACCGCCACAGACTTTTCATTGATTTTAGAGACAAGGCTTAGGTTAGATACTGGTCTAAAATTAGCAAACTGGTTGTGATGAGCATCGGGTTTCTTTAGGAGAGGAGAGACAGAAGCAATCTTGAGAGATTTAGGTACAGTAGCTGTATCGAGTGACATGCTAAATATCTTCGTAATAACTGGAAATAGCACTTTAACGCATCCTTTAAAGACGATAGATGGGATAGGATCTAATCAGCAAGATTTATTAGAAGATTTGGCGGCGTACTCCACAATGTGCTTTACTGTTACCTCAACGAAATCACAGAATGACGTTGAAATTTCAGTAGGTGGCTCCAAAGTGAGATCATTGCTGATTGCATCTTGTTTAGCTAACAGTGAATGGTAGATTTTGTCAATCTTCTCCGAGAAGAAATCAGCAAATGAATTGGCAAGCGCTGCGTTGTCATGACAGATAGGATACCTCTTGGGAGTTGATTCTGCAAGAGCTTATGTACGGTAGAAAATAACACCTTTTGATCAGATGAGTGCTGTTCGATAATTGATGAATAGTAATCAGATCGCACTGGTTTACATAACGCAGACGATCAGACGGCAATCTTGTTAGGCGCCACTTTCGTTCAAGGTTCCCTCTAATTCTCTTCTGCTCAGTCACTTCAGGTGTATACCATAGAGCCTTTGGTCGAACTGTAATCCAACCATGTTTTACAGGAGCGTGTTTGTCAATTAGAGAGAGCAGTCTAGTATCATATTTTTCGACCAGTGAGCTCAGATCTGTGAATTGTTCATCAGAGAAAGCATCAATAAAGTCAGTGCAAAAACTCTCCATATTCAAAGTGCGTAGATTTCGACTAGTTACCGGTTTTTTCTCGAAGTTAGATTTTTGTAGGCGTAGTTCACAGAGAACAGCATTGTGGTCAGATAGTCCAGGATCCATGATGTTATATGAATTAATTAACAAGTCATCTGATTTTGAAATAACCAAGTCAAGGGTGTGACCGTCTATATGCGTATCCTCCATGACATGTTGTCTTAAGTTCGAACAATCAAGAAAGTCCAGATACTGTCGGGCATGTTGATTGTCTGGGTCATCAATATGGAAATTAAAGTCACCAGCAATTATAATATGACTAGTAGGCTCAGCATGAACTTGCTCTAGGAGTCGTGAAAAATCTTGGAAAAAAGCTATGTAGTGTGAATCAGGTGGTCGGTAAATAATCAAAAACCTGATGCACTTGATAGATCTAAAACGAAGATCCATTACTTCGAAAGATGGAAAATCATCTGTAAGTATAGAATTTATTCAGAGGTTGGCTTTAAACAGCACGCCTACTCCTCCCCCTCTGCGATGCAATCTTGGAACATGAAGAAATCTATAGCCAAGGGGGCACAATGTGCCGATTTCTAACTCATCATACTTCCCTGGACGAAGCCATGTCTCGGTAAGTGCCAGAATATCAGTGTTGTTATCCACAACATAATCCTTGATAGCCATAGCTTTATTTCTGACGGATCTGATGTTAAATAAAGCAAATAATGTGTTTTTTGTAGTGTTAGTTTGATTAGGCTTTGTAGTGGCAGTTGACTTAACTGGAACCAGTGAGCGTGAACTGTAATTGTTGATGGAAGGTGCATATTTAGCATCAATGCGTGGAGTAATCCTCACAGGAATCGAGTTATTGTATTCTTGAGTAAAATTAGTATTCATATTCGACGAGTTTGAGGTTGAATTATGAATAGAGTGGAATCTTTGAATATGGGTATATGCTTCAGCAAATAAGTCCATTAAATCTGGTTTTTGGTTAGTTAGCGTAAAGCTAATGTTTCTGTAAGCATTAATAAATATATCCATGAGATCTGTAGTCGACTGTTGTACAATAATCGATGTAGAATCAATTCACCGATGAAGCAATCCATGAAAACCAGTAGGACCAGGATTTTTAGAGATATCTTGATGAACAGTTATATCCAAAGGAGGATCATGTCCTGGGATAGCTAAGCTTGCGATTCCATGCTTGGTAACTTTGAATTCAGCTCGTCGTGTTCTATGGAAACCATTTCTTAATGATAGCTTGATAGAAGTTGTACATCGATGATAAATTGCATCAGTAGGACATTCCTTAAATCCTTCATGAGACTCATTTTCCACAATCAGGTCATAAAAATTATTACGCTCAATGCGAAAATTTGCTCTTAAAATGTAAGAAAACTGCAGGAAAATCAAACATTGCAGGAGCGCCAAATAAAGCCGACCAGCCATGACGCACCTTTTGTATATCCTGACGCACCTTATTCATGCGCATTGCCATGGGTTCGAAGGTAAACAAGCGCTTGCAGGAAATTGTTTTTCAAAATCACCCACACCTCCCCCTCCCCCCTCAAGAGTTAAATGGTCGGTCCCTTAAGCGCAGCATTTGGAACCAACCCAGAATAAGTTAAAGGAGCTACATCATTGAAAAATATCAAATTCCATGTTGTCGAACGTCTGTACAGTAAATGATCACAGCTGACGTAAAAATGTGGTAAGTACACAAAAACGGGCTCGTAAAAATACCAAGCTATAACAAGTCGTTCTACGTATCATATGTTAAATCACTGAATAAAGGGGGATTTTCGATAAGCCGGTATTAAGGAACGTTTCGGGGACAAAATCTTACTCCTTCTGTTATTTCTCTACTCATAAAGTTTTGCTTAATTTCGTTTAAGTTTGTTTTAGTGCAAAAGAAGTATCAACCTTACCATATACACCCGAGCACTTGGTTTACGTATTTGGATCCAAGGGCGTGGACATCATTGACCCGAGGAGCAAAGAAGTGTTGTACAAGATCACTGATGGTATCTGCACTAAGTCGAACAATCGCTTTTCCAAGTAAGGCTGTGAATCCTTTGAAAGAAAATTTAAATAGAAATATCCCGATTTGACCGACCTCATTTCATGCTATCAAAGAGGCACAACAGCAAGCAAACAAATAGATAAACAGGCTGATCAACCCACAGGCAGCCCAAGCTCACTACTAGAAAAGCAGACGTGACTCTTACAGTGTTGCGCAACGTTTTATATTTATAAAGGTTTGTATGGGATGTTATCGGTTTGCCTTAAAAGAGAGAAAAAATGTCTTGTTTTGAAATAAAATGGACTTACCTTATTGCCTTGTTGTTTTCTTTGTTGATTACCAGCGTCTCAGGCCATTTTGAAGCGTTTTCGGCGAGTTAGCGCTATTTTGGTGTTCAACTGCTAAAAAAAAAAGTCACACCGAAATAGCGCTAACTCGCCGAAAACGCTTCAAAATGGCCTGAGACGCTGGTAATCAACAAAGAAAACAACAAGGCAATAAGGTAAGTCCATTTTATTTCAAAACAAGACATTTTTTCTCTCTTTTAAGGCAAACCGATAACATCCCATACAAACCTTTATAAATATAAAACGTTGCGCAACACTGTAAGAGTCACGTCCGCTTTTCTAGTAGTGAGCTTGGGCTGCCTGTGNTTTCTTTTTTTTTTTTTTGCATCATTCTTGTAAAGAAAGTGTTGTCAATTTTTTTACAACTGACATTTTCAAATAGATAGGTGATGCACATGGAAGATAAGCCCCACTCACCAGGGAGGGATAAAGACTTGTTACATCTATACGTTTATTTCAAGATCTACTAAGATGTACTAAATATATCCTCATCTTTGAAGGTTAAAGAGACAATTGCAACCGGAGGATATCCTTATGACTTGTATTATCTCCCCTGGCTGGAGGAGGTCTGGGTTCACACGTGGAGTAACTCTACTTTTGACGTCATCAGTACTGCGGGAAGTCTAAGGAAGACTCATACCGCCATTAAAGCGCATGTGCAACCAGGTTAGTACCAAAAAGACGTGGATATAACTTGCTAATTGTTTTATCGTAAAAAAAAATATGATGTTCTCTTATATCAAATAATCGTTACCTTATGCAAACAACAGCATTTTCCGAGTTTTTATTTATTTATTTTTTTATTATTGCAGAATTTAAAAAGTACATCATATCAGACAATCGCAAATCTAACCATGTCACCTAAGTTTACCACATCTCAATAAAAAAAAAAATTTTATCCCATCCAGTGGGAGGTATATTGACCCAAGTCGCTTCAGAAACCGTAGTGAGCTCTCGCAGGACAAGCTACCAAGCTCACAGGTAGTCTCCTTCGCAGCCGTTGTTTGGGCTCGTCACGCAACGCTCCCTCCCCCACCAAACAACGGCTGCGAAGGAGACTTGCTCACAGGCGGCCCAAGCGTACTTTATGTGATTTTGGGGTCTAAAGTTCATTAACGGCAACAACTAACATATTAAGATCGAATTTTAAGCCTATGTGTGGGCCGTTAAAAAAGGGAAAAATTATAAAAAAGAATAAAAAGTTTAAAAGGATAAAAAAAGCGAGGAATAAAACGTGTGAAGTCTCCTTACCTTTTTGCCAGCCTGCCTTTTTTCCGTAGCCGCCTTGTTGCCAACGGTCGTTTTAACGCTGTTTTGGCGACCTCCTCTGGGGTAAGGTAACGAATCTGATCCAACCGACGCGTCGGCCAACGTGTCGGCCGACGCGTTGATGCTGTGTTTTTGGACTTCGCTAAGGCGTTCGATCACGTAAACCATAAGATTCTACTGCATAAACTGCGTACCTTTGGAATAATAGGGTCACTGCTAGCCTGGTGTGGTGATTATTTATCGTGTCGTAAGCAGAGAGTTGTGGTGGATGGCAAAAGTTCTAGCTGGCTGAATATCACATCTGGCGTGCCGCAGGGGTCCATTTTGGGCCCCTTGTTTATTTTTTTATCATCATCAGTGATTTGCCAGAGGTAGTCCAGGAAAGCTCTGTGGCACTTTATGCATTTGGCCGACGCGTTGGTCAACGTGTTGGCCGACGCGTCGGTTGGATCAGATTCGTTACCTTTACCCTCCTCTGTAACGCGTGCGGTGTCACCAGTCAACTGTATAATAGGGAAATTATAAAAAAAAAATTAAGAAAAAATTAAAAAGATAATAAAAGCGAGGAATGTATCTTGCGAAGTCTCCTTACCTTTTTTCCGTAGCTGCTTTGTCGTTTACGGTCCTTTTAACGCTGTTTTGGCGACTTTCTTTGTAGCGCGTGTGGTGCTACCGGTTAACTGTGTATAAAAAAAGGCGGGAAACTTCAACCGGTCTCGAAGGCCAATAAATTCCACAAAAGTCGACCGATCTTCCTCAAATTTCCACCCACGAGAGTGCTTAGCTATTACCTACCCGTTCCAGCGGCAAAAGTTTCCAAGTTCCGCTGCATAGATCTGAGAGCCGCTCCGTTTTACCACCCATTCAAGCTAAATCGCTTTGTAGGTACGCGTAACCCTTTTGCCCTTACTACGGAATTCAAATATCAAAGCGCGTCGGGTCGAATTACGCGCACGACTCCCCAGACGGTGTTATTTGACAATAGGACAAACTGAACAACCTTCCTAACGATCCCCTGCGAAAGTTTTTTATTTGGTAAGATGAGCTTTGATATTTGAATCCAGTAGCTTTTACTGTCCTTTTAAATTTTTTCTTAATTTTTTTTTATAATTTTCCCTTCTTTTCATGGCCCACACATACGCTTAAAATTCTAACCTGTTAGTTATTGCCGTTAATGAACTTTAGACCCCAAAATCCCACACAGTGCGCTTGGGCCGCCTATGCCAAGCTCGGGCTCAAACTGATCCGCCTAACTTTGTTCTAACACATTATTAGGGACTTTGAGAAAACCACGACCAAAACCACGACCTTAGTAAGGAAACCTCGACAGCAATTTAGTCCCGTTTTTACTTTAAATTCAACCCTATATTCTCATAATATACCGCAGGGAATGTAACACCTTCAGAAATGGTAGACGAATCAAGTTTTTTTGCAAAATTCTTAGGAGAAAAGAAAGATCCTTTTTTTTCGGCAATGTTTCCCCACACGTCGCTGTAGTGACATCTTGAACTCCACACTAAATCGTTTTTGATTCAATCTAATAGGTTGGACTCATGGTTACATGTACGCTGACCAGCAAATAGAGGATGGAAAGGTGGGCTATGTAACTCACATGTTCAACCCAGGTATTCATCAGCTCGACTTGTCATCTAAGACATACAAAGACTTCGTGAATGTATCAAACTATGGCTGCAGAGGAACTTTCAACTTTGCGTACAGCTTGGTCAACAAACACGGGTTTTTTGACTGCTTTAGATCCAAGACACTCCTGGAACTTGACATGGCAACTGATCAGGTTGTAAGAAGCTATAATTTCACAGGGGTACCCTACGCTTCTAAATACGGCCGTTACATTGTAACTCTTTACAAATCCGTCAACGAATCAACCAACATGCTCCTCGCCAGTGAAGTGGTCATCCTTGCCGTTTCTGACGAGGACAGCGCTCCAAATCAGAAACCCACTGTGAAAATCTCTGGAGGTGTCAGTAAACTAGTGTTCGACCCCAATAATATCGCTGTAGCCTATATCAGCCTCGTGTACCTCGATAAGATTGCAGTGTTAGATCTCAATTCCCTTCAAGTGAGCTACATTGATGGAGTCGGGAGTGTGTTGACGGCACCTGGTATGCATTCTGTGAGCCGTTCTCTAGTCGTGGCAGGGCCCTGGATTGTAACACCAGCTACGGCTAATAATTCCGTTGCCGTAATCAACATGGCTAGCCGTGAGGTAGAGGGCATGGTACAAGGGGTCGTCCAGGGCTTACGTATGATTGCCGTACGTCAGAAAGTTCCTGTTCCTTCATACGCCGCAGAGTTTATCCATTTTTCGCCACTTAAGCTGATTTTCACTCTGCTATTTGCTCTACAAGTGACCGTTGGGTAAACCAACAACTTTTCATAATACTTTGGTAACGATGTAGAAGATAGCTTGATAAGTCTTCAGCAGAAACCATTGTCAGGCTAACAACAGAAAAGTGTATTTTGAAACGATTTGTATGCTTACCACTAGAAATGATTGATTGAATAGTCAAGACACATTTATATTTTATACGACCCCGTGTGCATTGCACCTGATCTTAAATCGGTTGGAAAGAACAAAACTCAGCTTTTTCTCCGCTGAATTGAACAGAACCAGAAAAGTGAGTGTATAAAGGAAAAAAACAGCGTATAGAACTGTTTAGAGCAGGTGTAACGTGAACTTAACGACCTGACTGAAGAACGACACCCATTACTTCTGTGAAGTTCACAGGGTTAAACCGTATCTAAACAATCCAATCCATATTATCGTATTGATGTGAGTGTCTCAGCAACTGCGCACCCACCCCTCCCTTAACCCAACAACAGTCAACTGATTACAAGTTACGGTTAGTGTTGAATCAGGGGAGGGGTGAGTACAGTGTTTTCTATATTACCTACAGACTTACTAGCTATGTTAATCAAAGTCAGTATCATCAAAAACGAGTCCTTGTTAAACTTATTTTTCTGTTTTTTGAGATGTTTATTTTTCTGAACATATAACAGTAAGGCTGCTCTTTCCCAGAATTCCTGGATCATTACAAGAGTAACCCCTCTGGGAATGAAACACTATCTTCAAAACAGTTTTGGTCTAAGAAGAAAAGCGTTTGTAGCATTCGTAACGTTATATAAGGATAGTTTCATTCACCTGTTTCCAGTTGTAATACAAAAACAGGTGAGTTACAAATCTGCCCGAGGCTCTCTTCGATCGAGTGTCGTAAAACCAAAACCACAATAATCACATCAGCCAATTAAAACTCAGAATAAAAACAAGCCAACTGCCTAAGGCGCAAGGAAACGCGGCTAAGTCGTGACTGCTTCGGTTTTGCTTCTGATTGGTTGAAAGAGTGGCGCGATTTTTTTCGGACCAATCACAGAGCGAAGTGAGGCAAAGCCAAACCAATCCCAGATTACTTTTAACACAACTGAAAATTCCTCTTACGAGGCAACTTCACCGCGCTTACACTCCATCATCAATAAAGTTAACGTCCTGTAAATTTTAGAAATTCGAGGTTATTACGGTTGCATCTCTTTAACTGGCGTTGGCGGTCAGTGTTACTACCGGCATAAAACCACATTTTGTATTCATTTTTTTTTTCATACCGAAAGACAAACAAAGGAAAGAGAATCGTTAGGACAAGTAACTTTTATTTCAGTAAACACTTTACGCTACAAATTTAGTTCAGTACTTTGCTTTTTCAGTGTGAGACGTAATAGCGAGTCCTTCGCACGCAAATCAGCTTGAGGCCCTTAGTTGCGCAAGATGGTCTCATATATGGCTTGTACGCCCATAACAACATCCACGGCTCGCGTCTTTAGGGACAACTGTCAGAAAGGAAAACAAATTTTCGTTACTATTTTAAAATCAGAGTGATCTGTTTTTCACGGTTTGAGTGGGTTACCTTGTAATCACGGGTACCTTTCTCTACAAAGTGAAAACGACAGGGAACGGATCACACAGAGTACAAAGGATCATGGTAACAAGTAAATAACAACCTCAATTAATGTCGAAATGAAGCGAGTGGTAGCCCACACTAAAAAGCCAGAGGGTCCTGGACACTGGCTGGGGGACGGAGGATACTCAGATAGTAACAAGGGACACTGTGGACGCACAGAAATATTTCGCACGACCTCGAAAAATAAGGACATTCTATCATGACCATGCTGATCTTAGAAAGTCTCTTCTTTACAAAGGGATCCGAGATTTAAAATTTTCTACAAGAATAGATGGCAATACTAGGCACTGAATAGAAGACATACAATACTAGGCATTGCTATGTAAACCAAACCAATTTTTTTAAAGCTGTCTACCTGCACCACAGGGTTACCAGGCTGCATCTTAAGCTCGGCCAAAACCCAGATATGATTGGTGAACTTCAGTGATTGGTAAAGCATGTCCTAGCAAAAAAACAAAAAAAAAAGGTTGGAAAACATATCATGGAAGAAATAGCAAAATATTAAAGCGACGGTCTTTGCTCCCGTCCACCCCGAACTATTCCAGGACAGCTCTCTTTACAACATCAAGAGCATGAATGAATGTACTTAATCGAACGCAGCTCACTGGAGTTTATATTGTGGAGGGTTTACGTGGAATATTTTGGAATACGTGGGTGCATTGTAAAATTGAAATCCTGGGCTTTCATCGAGGCGCGATAGAAAAGGTGCTTCTTTGTGGTAAGGGAGATAAAGGAGTACCACGGCCACGAAGAATGGAAATAGCTCCTTTTTTTAAAAAATGAATACATCCTAGATTTTTGTACTAAAACGTTTGATTCGATCATTTCATCCCGATGATATCCAGTCCTCGATTGTTACATCGGATCATTTGATTATGCTGTTTCGTTCGACTGACGTGCAGCCCTAAATCCTACACCAGCCTGTGAACTGTAAGAATTCGTCAACACTATTTCAATACCTGGCCTTCCACTGTTCGTTTTGCAATAGTAAATATGTTGTTGGCAGAAAGTTTCTGTTGGGCAACTTCTAAAGAAGAAAGGGGAGGCAACAAATGAAAAAAGACAAAAATGTTAGCCCAACATTCAGAGACAACATCGACTATCCGTCACATATTCGGTAATCTTCAAGTTACCTGACGAAAAGTTTACGTCGGTGATTTGATTTTGAACTTCATTCCCAGCAGGAATGTCCTTCCACGTGGCTAAAAACACCTTGCGATCTGCATGAAACAAAACAAGAAAAAATTGAGGGAGTTTTAACTTGTTCTGCCTTAATGTGATTCAAATAAGCGCATAAATGAAAAAAAATAAAAAAATAAAAATAAAACTACTATTTTGTTTTTCAGATTGCCATGAATAATGTCGAATTCAAGAAAGAGTTTTACAATGCGTGACTTAAACCCCGAGGTGCAAAATTTCATAATATAAATTGTACCGTGGAACCTCGATTTAACAAACCTCTATATAACGAAGTCCTTGGTGTAACGAACGATACTTCAGTTTCAGCCCGGCTAAAGTTACAGTAAATTGTATGTCACAGAACCTCGATATAACTACATTTAACCCTCAATATAATGAAACAATTTACTCAGTCCCTTGGCACTTCGTCAAATCGAAGTTCCACTGTACCAGTGTTGCACGGTTTGTAAAAATCTTGTAAAAATCTGACCCAGACTTAACAAAATTATTATTTCCAATTGGAGTAAATAGTCTCCATGCTTACCCAACCCAATTTCGTTTGGTTCATTTTGGTTCATTTTATCTATCCTGGATTACTTTATAGTTGGAAAATCATTAGCTCTCTAAATGTTACTAGCTCAAAACAAAATTACTAGCTTCATAATAGCAGATTTTATTACCAAATAATTTGGATGTATCAACAAAGTTGAAATGGTAAATTGGCCACCGTAATGATTACAAAAGCTGACGTTTCGAGCGTTAGCCCTTCGTCTAAGCCTCCGACGAAGGGCTAACGCTCGAAACGTCAGCTTTTGTAATCATTACGGTGGCCAATTTACCATTTCAACTTTGTTGATATATCCAAATTATTTCGTTACTCCCACCGACGCAGCCCGAAACAGTTTCTTTCGAAACTATCAGCCTTTATTCATTTGATTTTATTACCAACCCACCCCTCTCTCACAGGCAAGATTGAAATACAATAGCAAGATCTCACGGAGAACAAAAATTAACCCTGTCTTGCACGTGAGGGAGGTGACACAATAACAAGTGCCACAAGTCCACAAACTGGTGAAGTCGGTGCCAGGATATTGCACTGCACCAAACAGTACCGGTGCTTTACATCTACTGAGAGAAGTCCCGGGACTAAGTTATTGAACCAGCTTTCCATAGTCAGCCGTTAACGATAGTTATGCCAGGTTTATATTGATAGACTCCGGAATGAGACTCACCCCTTGCCTTTTATGCTCCCCAAACAGGAAGAGGTTGTGCATAATTATAATCTTAGATCTGGCATTAGCCGCTCCACGCGTCCTACTTGTAGGACCAAGCGCACGCTAGAGTTTGTCACGCAAGAGTTTGTCACGCATGAGTATACCTAGTGGCTTGTATAATTATGCCTTTTGTATTATTGGATTTATTGTATTATATTTTAGTATTATATGTTTTGTAAATAGCTCTGTAATTCAGCCATTTTGTATATTGTTGCAACGAGTCTTAATAAACAGTCTTTATAGTGCTGTGATTCAAGTGGAAAATTGGCCAGATTCTCAAACAGTAAATAATGTTCAACTAAGTGGCGGTATCAGGGTAGAACTCACCCATCTGGCCATCTTCTGTAAACAGCACGTTGTATGGAACCATGCAACTGAAGTAGAACACATCCACATTATTTTTAACGGCCACCTGGAGGTTTGTGAGCGGGTCCATTCTCAGCACAGCGCCAGCTAGCACAAAAAAAGGAAAAGAAAGTATTTTACTGAGAATAATCAAACAGTCAAATTTGATTATTTCACATCTATTGCTGATCAGATTGCTCAACGAGGAAGAAGAAACGCAAATGATGTTAGCCTGGGTCTCAAACCGAACCTAGTCTCGGTTCCAAACTTCATTTTAAGGAACTGTATATAAGGTAGACAGAGAAATTACCAGATAGATCTGACGAATTACAAGCTACCGTATTACTCTAACTTTAAATCGAAACCTAACGTACTTGTGTTGACAGGAAGCGAAGTTTCAGCAGAGGTGTTGGCGAGCAACGGTGACGGAATGTTCAGCGGACAACTGGGTGTCAGTCCAAAACTGAAAGAGAGAAACAAAGAAACTTGCCTATGAAAGACAACACTTATCAGGAGCGTGGAATAAAGGACCTGACTCTTACACTAGCCACTTTTGTAGTTCGATGCTCCCACACAGATAACTCTTTGGTAAGCTGGGCAACACCTTAGACTCTTAAGACAAGCCTTCAGCAAACTTGCTAGAGGCGAAAATTTCAAAATAACGCTGTGCAATGGCAAAGTAAGAAAAATAGTACATTTTGAAAGATTTTTTTTATAAGAATCTCGCGAGCTTGGGGAATAAAAAAGAAATTGGATGATCCAAGGGCTAATGAATTCCGTTCACGCTCTGGGATACTTAGTAAAAAGGTAGAAAGTCTGTTTACAAACCAAATGGCTTCAGCGCTTAACTCCGGTTTCCGTAGCATAAAGTGACTATAAATATTTCTACATTAATTTACAGTTAGTTCTACAGTAAAACTGACTAACTCACCTGTTCTTGTTAAACTGAATTGCAAAGCCTGCCATAGCTTGCATGGCCTTGTTGTTGATTGTCATATCCATATAAATCTGTCCTTGACGTCGAGAAAAAGTTCCTATTCAAGAAAAACGACTTCTTATTTACCACGAGGAATCAGTTAAGAACAGACTTCGTTGCAATGGTTACTACAAGAGCTGCAGCGCTGCTTCAGTTTACATTTCTAACAGTTATACCTGAAATTTCCACGCCTTTTCCTTTGGCAGCAGTGAGCCACACCTACAAAATCATTAAGACATGTGTCAGTTCAATAATGTCACAATGAAACTAAAAGATATATTTTATAACTCCTACTCTTACTGTAACTAGTTAAACACACAATGAACAATCGACTGTGAAGTGTGATCGACCAGGTTAAGAGAGTCCAGAAAAAAAAATTGTCGTCAAAATTCCTTTATGGTCCTACAACATAAGAAAAAAACAACAAGATTTGACAATCATTGCCAGTCCTATCTTAAACGAGACAACTCTTAAATATCTTCCCCCAGTACAAAGACAGAGTGATTCATCGTGTATGTGTAGTTTCCAACAACATCTTAAGTAAAAAACGGATAGTGTAATGGCTCGAGACTTAAGTTAGAGGGACGTAGACAAATACAAGTTTTATCGTATAGCTTGAAACTTCTTATTCCCACTCCTCTTAAGGCTCCACTGTGCAAACCTCCACCGCTCAATCCCCCCCAAAAAATCCAGTCAGCCACACGGGTTGAGAGCTCTGCCGAGATTGTTTCTTGGAGCGCTCAATGTATCTCTGAGGACTGTGTTGGGAATAATTCACTTTAAGAACCAATAGGGCTCACGACACTATGGTTTCAGCCATTCTACCTTTCAAATAATCACTCAACATCGTGCTCTTAGTTACCGATTTGAACTTTCCATGAAAACTGCATTTATTCATTTCTGAGGTATCCAGTCAATCTCCTTACATACCAGAGCTAGGCATGCCATTATGTCACGCTTCTAAGTTGTAACAGAAAGAATTAAGGTAAAGAAGTTGTCCCTGACCTGTTTAGGAGCAGAGTACATTCCTCCTGGGATACCAGGTCCCCCGGACAGGCTGAAAAGGTCGCCCAGGCCTCCCATCGGCCCTCCCATTGGCTGAGCAGGACTTGGTGCTCCACCAAGCTGATATAGAAGTCCATACGCAAAGTTATCATTCTTTGACAAACTGTTTCGCTACTATGGCGTGAAAGTGAGACACTTTCACTTGTGATCTAGAATCTGATGATCTGCTGTACTGCTGCTCAAAGTGCAACATAACATAATTATAGTTATCACCGTAATTCCAGCAACGTCTTGAAAATATTTAGATCGTGACTTTTTACCTGTAAACCACTTAGGTCTTCTCCCAGGAGATCCATCACCCCTCCTCCTGCCGCTGAATCAAAGGAAAAAATGATTAATTCATTTATAAAATACCGAGGCTCACCTCACCAGAGCTTATCCCGGATTCTATGAGCTCTAATGTCAGTGCACCAATTGATTAGGCAAGTCACACCTACACACCTTTACTAAGTCTTAGTGGCAGTAAATGGAGCAATCACTAGGAGAAATGTATGACTAGCACATAGCATGTTATTGAGTAACTTTTCTGCATTTTTCCCCCATCCAATCCGGTCAGCGTTGCTCTTTTATCTGTCCTTTCCATCCACATTCACTCTTAAAAATTTTTTTCAAACTAGAACACCACAGTGCATTACAATTTTGGGGACTGCGTTGACCATATCGTGTAATAACAACATTAATGAATACTACGTGACATTATCCCACTGTACCTGCTGCTGGCTGCACAGGTGGAGGAGCAGATTGAGTGGGTCCCACGTCCATCAACAGGTCACCAAGAAGGGAGTCAGCTGCTGGCTGGGGTGGTGGTGCATGGGCTGCCACTGGAGCAGTAATTGGAGCTGCAACTGGTTGAGATGGGGCAGGGGCAGCTTCCTCAGTCTCAGCCCCTATTCAAGATGTTAAGAGTCTCGTAAGGTTATGGTTGCTATACATATTTGTGTTTACAGTTACAAATCTCTTCATATGCAAACTTAGCAGAGAACTCCTTGCTAGGGTAAAGTTACTTTTTCTTCATCACAAGGGTACCAAGCTGTGGGGACTGAAACTTAACATCTGATGCCAACATATGACTCCGTATCATGAATGCACATCAACAGCAGGGAAGTGTTTCTGTCAATCCTTCCTACTCCAAGAAATTATCAATGTAGAACTTTTCCTTGCTGTCAAAGTATTACAATGTTAAAGAGGTAATGAGAGTAAACTAAATTATCAACAGGGTACATTATCAAGAAAGTTATAGGAAACTAAGCACTGTACCTGGAGATGGCTCAGCTCTTGGGGGTAGGGTGAATCTCCTTGCAGCAGTGCGTCCTTCAACAAATGAGCTGGGCGGCTTGTGATACACAGATGCCAAGGTGGAAATATTGCAGATTAGTTCGTCAAGGAGAGTAGGTTCCAAAAGGTCAGTTTCTTCAGATATGAGAGGCTTCTCAGCCAGCACAACTTCCTATAGATAATCCAATAGACACTTTTTGCACAAGTCCTGATAACTACACAATCCCTCTTTTTCTTTTTTTCAGTCACAACAGTAATGGTGATTCCTGATACACTCTTAAATAGCATCAAGTTATGGGCAAGACTTTGAGAAAAAAAAAGAACTTGTAATTAGCAAGCTGATTAAGTCTCAGCCAAGTCCTTGTGAAATATTCTTAAGCAAAAAATTTTTCTTTTCCCACTAGCTTTCTCCCTTCAAGTGTTATCGATGGGATCTTTTTAACTGTCACGGAAACATGGATGAATTCTAGGCCAGGGAGTAACCTGTAATGGCTAGCATCCCATCCAGGAGAAGCAGCAATGCTCATAATACCCTCAAGCAATGAAAACCAAGATAAGTTCTAGCAGGATGGACCACCTGTTTCATACGCTGATTATCTGAAAGGGAGTTGGTAATAGAGAACCTAATGATCACACCTTTGCTGCTACAGGGTCAGTGGAAAGAAGTCGCCAGTAGATGTAGCCCCTGTCCCTAAGATCTGGGTTATCGCTATCCTGGGTTGCCAGACTCAAGACCTGTTGTACTAGCTCCTGGGTGTCAGTAGGACGTTTCAAGAACAGCTTTACAATGGATGTCAGTAGCTGTAGTTGAACCTGTAGGCAAGAAAAAAGTCTATTGATATTGTGGATATGGTGGGATGATGTCTCCGAAACTGTATCAGTTTAAAAATTAAAAAATCTCTAGCATGTTTTTCAATAAAAATGCAAACCTGAGAATTTTCATCTTGGAAGCCTTCCAGGAACGACTCCAATAATTCTGCAGCATTGTCAATTCTCTCAGCATATTCTCCAATGATCCAAATCATTGATGCCCTATGAATTAATTAAATTAGTGTAAGCAAAACTTACCAGGAGACTGGAGGTTTAAACGAAAGTCACTAATTAAAAGAGTTGAACCTCCCTTTGCAACCACCACTCGTAAGTGACCACCTCTTGTTAGCAAACACTTTTTTCAAAAATACCACAAGTTTGCAAATCAAACAACTACAAATGGAACCACTTATAAGCAACTACTACTACCTCTCATAAGGGACCACTTTTACAGATACTCGTTTCCAATTCTTCAATAGTTTTTAACCTTCTGTAGGCGACCCCTTGACAGACAGTTGCCTTTATCTCTCAGGGGCATAACTGAAAATTGTTTCAACTAATGTCATAAAAGTGGAGCCACCAAAGGTGTTTCCAGAAATAGCTTTACCACATTAATTGTTGCTTGTGCTGTGTTCCAAAAAAAAATTTGGCCAGCACCACTTGGAGTAACAAATGAGCCAAGTTTCTTTCACCTGAATTGTTCTAAATACTGTATTTAATAATTTATGAGACACAAAACAATCACCATAGATCCTAAAAATTCTTATTCCTTGAATAAGCCACTAAAAGTTCACAGACTATAGGTTTCAACAAGCAGAGGCAAAAAAAAAAAGAGAAAATAACAAAGGAAGTAAAACAGATATATTCACCTTGCCTCAGGCTCATCTAATGAATCCAGATTTTCACACAAGGTGGAAATTATACTTTCATACTTATTTGGGTATCTCCTGAATATGTCCTGATTGTAAACAGCAAAGGTTAAACATAAATATACACAAAAGCATCGGTTACCAACATATCAAATGTCACAAAAAACATCAACAACTGCCAAAAACTTAAAATATGAAACTTAGAACCTTGTGACCCACAATTCTCTGAGAAAGTACTGTGTGCACACATAGGTGGCAGAGCAAGGGGGTTGGCAGGGCTACAGCTCTTCCAATTAAAATTTGGAGGGTTCATCCCCACAAATCTTTCAGTGTCAACAATATTGTTGGTGCAACACTAGATTAGTTTGCCAAAATATTAAGTATCATAATCTTAACAAATTGTTTCATCAGGATTGTGCTGGGTCAAAATATATGTGGTAGAACATTTTTCATTTCAATAGCTCCAGCCTGTGTTCAAGAAACCAACATTAAAAATTCATTTTTCAGGAAATTTGAGGAAGGGCATCTACTTGGCTGTAGTAAGCCCCACACACGTCAAAGTGCCCTGCTGTCTGTGGTAAATTTGTGGTGCTGTGGTTAACTGCAGCCATGGGGGCAGTACAGTGAGGAACTCTTACCTGTGCACCATGGTGCTGTTGAAAGGGTAAATTTTTTCCTATCAAAACTGTTCTGAGAAATAGAGACTAAAAAATATATTACCTTAATAACCACAATAGCTTCTTGTACCACATAGTTAACCTTGGTTTGAATCAAGTCCAGAAGAGTGCTCACACAGCGTTCTGCAGATTGCTACAATAGATTAAGTGTATTAAGAGTTGACATAGATTTTAAAAAATAGAAAACAAATTGACAGCTATATGCACTGTACTGGTATACAGTGGATTTTTTTAACTTTCCATATATGACAGAGACCTTTTGTTTTAGGTGTAAGACTTCCATAGAACACAATCTCAAAGAGGAAATTTACAAGTTTGAATAGGAAGGTGTATATGTTAAAACTAGAAGCAGAATTCACCCTGCATGCTTCTGTTTATAATACACTGTAGATAGCATCCAGCCTAGGGACCAATTGAAAACTCCAAGAGTCATTCTTTTCTTCTGAACTGTTGCCCACCTCAATGAAAAGTGCACATACCGTATTTATCTGTATATAAGTTGACCTTTCATGACCAAAAAATCTGCCCAAAAAATCACCCTTGACTTATACATGGATCATATACAAAGACCTGACCCAAGCACTCCAAGAAATTAGCATAACAATTGCCTGAAGTCCGTTAGGAAAACCAAGTTTACAAAACCAGTTCTACTTGTGTTCGAGTTTCATCAGTTTTCAATGTGTTCTTCATCAACGAAAAAGTTTGTATCTTCTGATCTGCAGGGCAGACATTTTTCCTTACAGCTTCGCTGCTGTTTACGGTGCTGAACTCTCATTTTCATCAAACGATTACAGTAGCTTAGTAACCTGGCAAATGCTGGCAAGTTTCCCATGATGGTGCTGTTTTCATCTAGTGATCCTTCAAAGCTATTCAGTGTTCCTTTGGTCTACTAAATCTCCTTTCAAACTCATTTACATACATGAAGATTTCATTTTCAAAGTGAGTTACAAAATATGGTAAATTACTTCTCCAGTAAATCAAAGTGCTCATATATGCTTAAATCTTGAATCATGGTGATGTAAACAAGTGTTACTAATCTTCACAGTACACCATTACATTTTGCTCTGCATTTTTTGTTGTTGTTGTTCACCTTGTTTTCAGATTTAAGAGATCAACCATTTGGGAAATTTCCACAGGTCTGAATTTTTCTTAACTAGAATGATGAAATATCTGATTTTTGACCTTGAAAATAGGGGTCAACTTATCGGTTCGACTTATATATGGATAAATACAGTAGCATTGACTTCTCTGGTACAAGAACCTTTCATTTTAGTGTATTTGTTTAGTGATCTTATTGAAGGAAGTGAGTAATAACAGGTAACACTTAACAATGTAATGATACAATGTAATGATACAATGTAATGATACATTAAACACTTAACAATGTAACAATAACACTTAACAATGTAATGAAAACACATTTAAAGACAAGTTTAAAAGACAAGTTTGCCATTTGACAACAATTTTCCAGAGGTATTAGCCCTTAGTTGACCCACTTTTCATGGTTCATGTGCCCAAATACATTGAATATTGGCAATTAAGCGACTAGTTTATAACAAACCTCAACTTTGATGGCACAGCGTCCAATTGCACGCACTGATTTCCTCACAAAATCAACATCAACTTCTGTAGCATACCTGGAATTTAAAAATCAGACATTGTTATATGGTAAGAAAATAATTAAAGTGACAATGGTTATCACCACAGAGCAAAGACTTTTGACTGCTTTGAGTTCTACAGAAAAAAAAAAAAAAGCAAACAAGTACATGTATCTTTTTTGGCTTAAGGAAGTGCAGTTCCAGTATCTCTTTGTTTCATATTGGTTACCAGGCAAATGTAAGTGCACAAAATTCAATGGAGACTATGAATGGACTACATGAACTGGTTTTGTGCCCATACAGAGTCTTGCATCCATAAAAAGGTTGCATGGGTTCTAACTCTTTTGTACAGACCCAAGATTGCCAAAAAATAGTGTTCGTGAAATCCGTACAAAAAGCATTACACTCTTAAATCAAACAGCCACATACATCCAGTTTTAGATGTATGAAATGAAATATGGGCAATCAGTGAATTGCTCTCATCTGTGGAAAAGCTGGATATCATTTAAACTTTTTCTTAAGACCAACGTTCTAAAACAAACTATAATTTATTTTACAAAAAACTGTAAAGAAAATTACTCTAGATATACTTAAAATCCAGCTTTACTATGAGAGGAAAAAGCCATTTTACATACTGAACCACAGGAAGACATCTTACTCTTTCAACTCTGCCAAGACCTGGGCAATGTTCTGTTGATTTGACAGCCGAATCATGATATCCAGTTTTTCAAGTTTCACATAAATTGGATCATTGTACTTGACAAAGAACACTTTCATCTCATTCTTCAGGATATCTGCTCTAAAAATTAAACAACCTTCACTGGTTAGAAAACATGTCTTAGTTTAAGAGTTGTACATCTTTGTAGTCATTCATCATAAGGAAGTAGGATTGACTTGGAAGTAGATTTTTAAAAACATGACTAATTTGCATAAGGTTAAATAACAATTAAGAAATCTTTGAAATCCTCATAAAATTACAGGATACAGTTCAAGTTGCATTGCACCAGTCCTATTTGCAACACCAGAGAAATACATTTTGATTCACTTCATACAGTTGGAAATTTTCAAATTTCAAGTTTGTGTAATTTGACTCTGAGTTCATTTTGAATTAATAGAGGGCATGATACTCTGGCCATTCAGAATCCAACTGATCCACTCTCACTCTCAGTTTGAAGTCAAGGACTAAACTTGAATCCATTCTCCTAAAACTTGGTAGTTACCTAAATGCTTAGATTCTTACAAACTTTAAAACTGAGAGGAAAATCAAGCACAAACAATATTTCGTGTCATAGAAGAGCTTAATATAAAGATTTATCTACACCAGTAAACTACTATAGAATGATACATAGAACGTTACACTAATGTTCATCTGTTTAAAGTGGTATACATGAATAAATGAAAGTGTGCACTGTATACCACTAGTTAATGAAATGAGTTATCATTAGACAGTTACCTCTTTTGTACAATCAAATTGATATTCCTAAGAGCAACATACTGGACTTCAGGTTCACTGGACAACAAAGTCACTAAGGAGAAACAATTTACATTAAAAATTATATGTGGCTGGATAGTTCTGAAGTTTCAATCAAAAGTTAATCCACAAGTATTGCTCTTAGCACATAGCTTATGTGTAATCCAAGCAATACTGTTAAGAAACTGTTAGTTGGAGTGTTCATTTCACAGCACAGATTGAAGTATTACTTACCCAGAGGAGGTGACAGTTTTTTAACAAGATTCTGCACGTATGACGATGAGGGAGTCATGATTTCCATGTATTTCATAAGAACCTGTGAATATTTGGTACAATATCAGTAAAAGGTAGGTCTTGATTCAAACAACATGAAGATAAGAATTCAAATTGGAGTAAAACAAAAAACAAACAAATGCATTATTGTTAACTTTCCACCTAGCAATGGCTGGACATATAAGCAATATAATCTAATTACAATACCACCTGAAACTGCACTTTCAGGACAAACTTTCATTCATTTTACATGTTCATAGGAATGAAAATACACACAGTCATGTCCCCCAAACAAAACCCATGAATGAAGTCCCTATGGTTTCATGCAGCACTGCATTAGAAAAAAAAACAAGTCTACCAACAGTATGCTAATATGCCAAATATAACCTTGTGTTAAAAAGAAAAAACTTTCGTTTACATACAGCTGTTGTCTATTAGACCCTAGTTGGGAGAAGAGGAACTTTTTGGTGGGTCATGACAAATACAAGACTTGCCAAATGTAAGCAAAAACAGCTACAGCGTACTCTTGGACCTGACACATTCATTAAGTGTTGATACCTACAATTAAACATTAAACCCTTTATCATTATTTGAATTTTTAGATTCTAGTTTTAGATACAAGTATATTGCTAGTTTTTAGGTTCTAAGTTTGTTAGAGTAAATTTGTGGTTTTAGGGATAATTTTTCACAGCACCCTGAACAAGTAGTGGATGTGTGCACTGCATAAATGAACTATTTTCATTAATATTATTGTACTATACCTTGACAGCAGACAGAACCACGGCAGCATTGGCATGAGACAGCCTTGGTGTGACTCGCTCACAAATGCTGCAGCAGAAGAAACAGAGAATAATAACACTTAGTATAAAGACATTTTAGATAATTAGTTAACCACACTATTATTTAAACATGAAAGAAATTTGTCACCTCTGAGCTTCTCTATCATCTTTTGGAGTGTACTGTGCCAAAGAGTCAAGGATAAATATCTGTCCCCACCTAAAAACAAATTAAAAAGACAAAGACAAATACAAATAAAAATGAATATTATTTATTGCAGCTGACATCCAAGCAGTTGAGTCAAACCAGTTGCTGGTAAGCTTTGGCTTAAAAACATACACTGTCATGAAAAAAAATTGCCTGACTGCTAATGTATAATTATAAAATGACACATTTCATTGAACTCTTTGACTCCTAAGAGTGACTAGCATCCAGTTTGTCCTTACAAATAGAATATAACCCCTAAACATTCCACATTAAGGTCACAAGAATGAAAGAAATGATCACCAACTAGAGAAGCTTTTTAATGTTGAACAAATTCTAGAGAACCATAGGGAGAATATGCATGCTGATGTTGGGTGCAAATGGCTAATTTTTAGCGCATCAACATAATCTGCCAAAGCAGCCGGTTCAAGTTAATACTAGTTTTTTTCCTGAGGCATTACTACTAGTTTTTTTATGTACTACTTACTCTGTACATTCATTTAGTGCTGTGAGCAGTTTGTTGATGGTTTGGGAATTTATTTCCATCATGGCAGCAGCAGTTGGTGAAACATCCCCAATCTCAGATAAGGCAGCCACAGCATTAGCCACAACCTACAACAAATACCTGTTGAATGAGCTATCATGCCAACTTAAATTCAAGAGTGAAAAAGTTACGACAAAAATTAATCTAAAATTGAGGTGTTGTTGTATCGACCAAGTGATCTCCACGTCAGTACAACTGGGAGGTGGTTTGAGATTTTCCTGTACCAATTGAACAGTCTAGAAATTTATTATCACGCTGATGTTTTTAATCACATCACATGTATACAGCAAGTACATGCATCTCACCTAAATTTGTAGATATTATACTTGGCAAATTTGATTCACTGGCTTTTGAACCCCTTTAACTCCCTAGACCTGATTGTTAATTCTCCCATTTAGTTGCTATACATCTCCTCATAAATCAGTTATGAGAATTTGGTGTTAGATTGAGATACCAACCACCTGATAGGTTTGAGTATTCTCATTACCTGTTTGCTGGATGATTATGGATTAACTTGTTATAGGTAGAAGTTCTGTCTTAATCACTTCTGAGAGTTAAGTTGTGCTACTGCTATTTATTTTTGAGACAATATGCATCTTATAGTAAGTATAGATCGTTTTCACTGTTATGCAACGAAAAATAAGTCAAAAACTATTTTGACTTATTTTTATCTAGAACTTACTTTGGCTATCTAGTTGACTGATTATCTGAACTGAGCCAACAAACATTAACACATGCACTTTTCCTAACACTTAAACTCCTAAAAATCACTAGATAAGTGTATATTTTTCAACAGACACGATTGGAACTGTACGTCATGCACTGCCACAACCATGAACTTCAAACTGTGCTGGTTTTCAAACCAAGCAAGCTATTGAGCTGAAAATTTGAAAAAAGATGTGAATTTAAACCCCCCTTGTGCCCAAAGAGGATAATAATTTTCATAGCTCTTTAGTTTAAATTTTGGAATTTGATGACCTCATGTAAAAACAATCTATACTTGTATATACATACACATAGAATTGTACAAGCTTCAGCAACTACATGAACAAGATGAGAAGTAGACACACTGATATGAATCACTATCTATTATTGTAGGGTGCCCTTTTATGACAACTTAGCTTTTAAGGACTTGGTTCAACTAACATGCCAGAACATTTCAAAATTAATCAGAAAATAAAGAACTGTGTCTCACCATGGGATTCGAATCAGACAACAGATCCTTCAAAGAATCGAGAAAACCTTGATCCTCTACCAGTTGAGAGTTAATGTCATGGAGCTTTGCTACACAAACTGCAGCAGTCTTGCGCACATAAGGATCTTCATCCTTCAAGCACTTGCGCAGGGGCTCACACAGGTACTCTGTGATCTTGTCAACACGGATACAGCCCATTGTACGAACAGCTAAAGCACGAATTAGTGGGTTGGGGTCTTCACAGTCCTAAGTTGGAAAAGAAAATGAAATATGTAACGTTCACTAGAACAAATTAATGCAAACTTAGAGCACTTTCTTATGATTTTAATGATGAAAGTTTGGTCTTACTATGAAAGTTCATTATTAATCTTGATGACAACTAGAATGGTAGTAATAAAGATGACAAACATAACAATAAAAGTAATTAAAATAGGCTTGCTGACATACCACAAGTATACATGTACATGTATACTTTTATCATCTCTAATGATTCAATAATAACTCGTACAAGTACAAGCCTTCTCAACAATTTTAGTACTGAACAAGGATAGAATCTGCATGCACTTTAATTTTTGTGTCAACAAATGAAAACAATGTCCATGAAGTTTATTTTGACCTGATGGAGGACTTACTCCTCTTTGTCAAACTTATAGATCCCACAGAGGATGGACTTGCAATAATTCTGACCTTCACAAAAGTATTAACAGCCATAATTGCCATGTCAGGCTGAGACTTGGCATAATTCATCAGGTAAAGGTACACCAGCTTTTTTAACTCTAAGTTGTCAGTTTGCATACAATTCACCACATCGGGGAACAAGGAGCTGAAAAACAACATTAGAAATCATAACCTTTAGTATGTCCTATACACTGTAGACAGAACTCCTCAAAAGTAAGTTGACAGTGTTTGCTTGAAACTTGATTCTTGATCCTTGAAACTTTCAAGAGTCAAGAATACAGAATCAAGTCTTGAGGTTCAAGGATCAAGAATTGAGACACTCAAATAACTTTTTAAGGATCTCATGCTATAAGTATTTTCCTCTTGTGAATCAGACGAGGTAAAAAGCTTCAAGTTATGTGAAAAACTGATTGTGCAAAAATTCCTTTGTTCCCTCCCTTCAAAAATCTTGCAACTCAACTCGCACATCTCAAAACTTGACTCAAGCCCTGATCCTCGAGATTTTTGAGAATTAGAAATCAAGATTCGAAGGACTGTCAACATACTTTTGAGTGGTACCTTTAGTTGTAGCTAAGGAGTCTCGCTTGTTGATATAGGTTGCTCTCTTGTCTTTTAATCTAAATAATTGCTCTATCTAGGCCTACATTCAATTCTAAGTGGTCCTAAATCTAACACAATAATTATGTTCAAGTTAAAAAAAAATGAATCTGAATCCCTTCCATTTTAGAAGACATCAGGAATTCTGCCAGACTTAAGTTGCAGGTGCTAGAAAAAAAATACCTCCTTGTCCCAACAACATTACTGGTACATGAATAAAAACAAGTACATTCAATCATGTAATAACAATTACAATGATATAAACACAGCAAGGAGTCCTCCAGAAATCACCAAACTTATATTAGAAGTATAAACTCAAAATCAAGCAAATAAAATTATACAACACCTAAGGAGACAACAAGATAGCATCACATCCATTTTTAGATTAGGTCTCTCTTACCTGACATCCTTTCCAACAGTCATACTAGCAATAACTTTTTTCACTGCTTCTTTCTTTCGATCTTTCTTATCACTGTTCAGCTCTGCCTTGAGCTCAAAGATCTCCCCTGAAAAATACACCATACTCTTGGCATAAAAAAATATAAAAGAAAAAAATTCTAGCCCCAAGGTTCAAAGCAGTTGTTCCTTCCATGCAAAATAAATCATAATAAAGAAGGATTTTTAAACCAAACTTCTCTTTCCTATGCTGATGGGCTGAGCATACCATAAATTCATGCCCACAAGATATACATTCAATCATGTAATAACAATTACAATGATATAAACACAGCAAGGAGTCCTCCAGAAATCACCAAACTTATATTAGAAGTATAAAGTTCATCATCATATTTCATTCATCTGCAGATCTACTGGAAGATTTCCACTTTCAAAAGTTCTCATAAAACAAAGAAAACAATCTCTTTTCTGACACACTTTGTATCACCTCTAGCACATTTAAAATTCCACTTACCTTTCTTGGTTGTTGTAAAGTATTTGGAATCAGTCATGATTGCCTGAAAAGAGAAATGAATAAAATAGCTGACGAAGAAGGTTAACAACATGTAACTTATTAAATCCTTCGCAAACCGACAGTTGTTTCAGACTTCCATCCCTGAATATCCTCTTCATATAAAATATCATGATATTCGGGGAGGCCTTAACTTGCCATGTCTCTAAAATTTCACAATTGTTAATGAAATAAATTCCATTAGACTTGCTGATGGAAATCAAGTACACATCACAGGTATACTGCAAAGTTTGCAATTGCAGAAAAGTCACCAGAAAAATTCAGGTTTTGACGGGATTCGAAGCAGTTCCACCCTCCTGATCACAATATTGTGATCAGATTCCTACGATGATCATTGCTTAGCTTGACCCTACATGACTGTGTATCCAATACGCAAAGCAACCGATTGAATAAATCAGCACATTCTCCAAACTTACGTTTGAAACAGTTGAAAACTTCTATTCAAAACGGTAAAAATGCTAAGCCGCACCGTAGATCTAGAGCTCTCTTTTCAATATTTGGTAACGAGCCAAGAGTAGTATATCGACTGCAAACACCTCCATCAGTTCACGGAGAATAACAACCAAATCGCAAAACTACAATATGAACATCCCTAATAATCTTTTTCTGGCTAACTATCTCAAAACATTGAGAAAACTCACCTTCCCTTTCCCGATGGAGACGGATTACTATTAAAGAGTTAGGACGAATCGTACAACCCAATATGGTGCCTTCCTTGAGTTTGTTGCTAGGCCTAGGCTCGCGCGCTAGTGAGTCGATTTCAATGTCACGCTATGTACAATGTATGACCGACTGCGTGATTTGGACTTTAGCGTTAAGTCAAGTTGGCGCGGGTTTTTCCTGAACGTTTGACAGATGTAATATGACTGAAAAACTTAAAAATCATTTTTTTTCTCCTAAAAGTAAGTGAAAAAACAACGGTAATAAACATACCCAGAGTGAAAAAACAACGGTAATAAACATACCCAGCCTATGAGCAGCCGTTCAGCCCAAATACAAGCAATGTGAACGGTGCAGAATGGATAAAATTGGTGTAATCGTCATTTTTAAGGCGGCAGATACAGTTTGCATTGAAGAGATGATAATTGTGAAAATGGATAATTTTTGGTCAGCCGTTCAACAGTTCTTTGGGCCGTCACGCAGCGCTTCCCCGTTGGTTTTGGGAAGTGTTGCGTGACACCCCAAAGAAAAGTTGCGAAGGAGACCACAGTGTGTAACGACTTGTTTGATCTCTCAAGTCCGGTCCATGTTTTAGTCTATTTTCAATTTTGCAACATCTTTGTGGAGAAAGATCTGGGCACACCGGAAGTAATGTTTACCGGTAGTAGAATGTTGGAAGCTCCACTCTGAGCGACTTCCTTAATAGTCCCCCCCTGTTATTCAAGAAGGTGCCAGTGATTCAGCCAATTTCTGCTGCTTCAGAGAGAGTTTTTAGCATTCTCTCAGCCTCGTTCAATGACCAGTAGCATAGGGTGCTATATAATCCTAAAAGTTCAAGGGAAATTAACGTAAGAATCGAGTAAAAGAGAATCCTATAAGTGTGCGAGATACTAACGTACCAATCCAACGAAGGAGAATGCTTAAATTGCACGAAATACTATCTTGACAATCCAATAAAAGAGAGATACCCACATTCACGTTGACAAACACCAGTCAATTGTTATGGTTCGATTTACTTTCATTAGGGAGTTGAAGGACTCGAAAGGACCGAACGATAACTAGATATTTATTTTTCATTTTCAAAGAGCCTAATTTTCGTTGGTAAAAATCACAGATGTTTAGCAAAGAAATCTTCCCAGAGATATCTTTGTATTAAGGCAACGGTGAGAAATCATTTCCTTAAGCTTAAGATAAAGAGTTTTTTGTTTTATTCTTTTTATTCTTTAAATAGCCCACGTCTGCGTCGATATTTGTCCTCCGTTTATTCCCGTCGAAAAGGAACAAAGCCAGCGGAAGAAAGCCAGCTCAAAAGTTTCATGTTTTGTTTGTATTATTTTAAACGGAAAAAAAGCAAACTCGTTTTGTAAAGTCCAGTAATAGTGATACTAAAATACTGGTCTTAAACGCGGCATTCACCACCACATCACTACTGGCTTTTTATCGAGCGGCCTTTCGCGCACAGTTAAAATTGATGGGAGGGTTACGCGGTGAATAAACTCTTTCAGGCGACTGGTATGTCGGCTGATAGTGTCTCCGGCTGAGATATTGTGCGAGGAAAGATATTTGGCCGAGGAGGGAAGCCGAAGCTTCGAGAGCAAATCTATATGAAATATTGAGGGTAATCTCCAAGCCGAAGACATTATCAGTGGACATACCAACAAAACAGAAAGGGGTTTGTTTATTTTATATTTATGATTGGTGTTAGGACTAACAACCCCCTCTCGACCAATCAGAAGCAAGACTAATTCTAATCGCCGTCCGTTCAACCGCATTTTTTCTCGCGCTTCAAGCGCTTTGCTGGATTTCAACAAAAATGATTCGTTATTGTCTACTTGTGCTAATTTTCTATGATCCGATTGGCTGCGGCAAAAACCGAGGTTTTTATTTTGCGACAATCAATCAAAATGCGCTCTATTATCTCTTAACGCTCGTACATCAGTAATGCATATTCTCCATACTGTTCCTTAAACATTTCCCTAGGTGCTGGTAAGGAGAATTTTTGTAACAATCATGAGCTTCCTTAGTTGGTGATCATTTCCCTTATTCTCGTGACCTGAATATTTGATTAAGGGGGTATATGATGAGAAGAGATTACATGCTAATAAAAGAGTTAACTTTATCACATTTCTGTTCAGCAACACTATCGATCAGTAGAACCGCTGGCTTTGAATTGTGTCTCTGAAAATTAACGTATATTTTTCGGTACAAAAAATACATATTCGTCGCAAAACTTTCGTCTCTAGCGATGTGACCTCTGAGCTTCTTTACAAACACGCGGTAACTTTGCCTTCCTCTTTGCTGGTTTCTCTCTGGGTTTAAGTTCAATCTGCACCAGGACAGATCGAGTAAAAGGCTGAAGAACTTCACGATGGTTTTTTATAGCTAGGTCAGAGGGGAGAGGATAGTCTTTTTTCCTTTACTACGACATTTGGTTCTACGAGTATGATCCTTGCTCCAGCGTTCATGTGTGTGTCCCCTGCCCAAGAGTGAGAACGTGTGAGGAATTGTACAACAAGCTCTTTAACATTTACAGACGCAAAGGAATCTCGACGCCGCCTTTCAAGTCACGACGACTTATTTCAGCCACCGGCCGATTGTCTCGAGATTTTCCGAATTTGAAGAGTCTCATTGCAGCCTTCCTGTATCGTTTGTTTCTATAGAAATACAGTAAAGGATTTACGAGAGGAATATTTCTGTCCAGCGCAAAGCTGAGGTTACGCGAAAAAAAAGGCAAAAGTAGCGCTAAAATGTATGCGGCCCCCACAGGAACGATTGAGATAAAAACTGCAACTGTTAGCAGAAACGCCGTGAGGGCAATTCTGCTTTCGATCTTCGATCTGATTGGCGCATTGACTTGGCTGAATTAGCCTCGGGTCCGTTTGGGTATTTTGATGTAAACCATACAATAAAAATACACTAGTAGAGTCAAGACGAGAAACTGAAAAATGACGTAAATAACGGGAATGACCACTTTGAAAACACCAGAGTCTTCTAATACGAGAAACATGAACGATGTTGCGAGGGCTGTTATCCAAACGATTACTGCGAGTCTCTTTAAGCGTTTCTTTGTGACTGTAACCTTGAACTTCAAAGGTTTTACAATTGCAACATATCTCTCCCAACTGAGCAGAACTTTTTGATAGTAGGAAGCACAATGAGTAGTGTTCTGCACAAATTGCGTATGGTGACTATCGTACAGATCGTGTCCTCCATTACAGCTCCTCGAAGAACTATTGCATGTATAATGATGTAAAATGGGGCTAAAACTACACCCACTTAGAAATCACAGGCGGCCAAACTAGTGATCAGAATGTTAGAGTTTGTCCGTAACTCTCTTATTTTCTTGATTGCTAAGATCCCCAGGATGTTCAACAAAATTGTAAATAAACCTATAACGGCAGTGATAGCGATGTTAAGCTGAAGGTGAGTTTTTCTCTCTAAGTCCCAGGTAAACATCGGAGCAGCTGGACAAAATAACTTTGATGGGTAAGAGTGAAGAGGCAAGCTTTTAGAGATACTCACATTCATGTTGAAAAAGGTCAGTCAACTGTGGTCCTGTTCAGTTTTCAATACGAAGTTTAAGGTCTCGAGAACTAACTAAACATTTATTTTTTACTTCCAAAAAGGCCAATTTCCGTTGACGAAAACTGTAGATTTTAAGCGAGTAAAATCCACACCAAAAAACATCTGCGTAAGCTTTCCAACTATTTTTTGTTTCATTGTTGCTTAAAAAATGGTTCATTAGCAATATGAAAATGCGCAGTAATTGGGAAACTGATGGTGTCATGAAAACAGAAAACTTAGAAAACACGAAACAGGAAGCTTAGAGATGCTCACATTTATTTTGACGAACAATGTCGGCGGTCGTTACAGAAGTCCTTTGCTCTTTCCAGCGCTCCTTGAAACGCTCTTGGTTTGTAACGAATGGTCAGAAAGTAACTGAAAGTGGCGATAATCACTTACCAGGATTATCAGTTCAGGAATATCTTTTGTTTCTTTTGGAAAACTGTTAAAATTGAATTAACACTAAAAAAAGGAAGCCGTTCTCTTTCCTAACCGTTAAATTGAGGAAGTAGTGAGTCAAACCCATTCATAAATCTTAAATTTTCAATGTGATTCTAATTTCAGAAGGTCCTTTAGACATTTGTTTAGGCTTAAACAAGACATCACCAGCAATTAGGGAATTATTCACACCAGACCAGTTAGGACGCAGATTCAACGAGAAACTATTCCAAATGGAAATCTAAAGAACGCTAAAGCAAAGCGATCCATGTTCATGCGAGAAGTCTAGTTTATTTGATCCTGTGGATACTCCACGCTCCCAAAATTTGCTACTAGTCATATTTGCTTTTTTCGTGAATTTGATTCCTTCTTTCTCAGATAACTTAATGAATACGAGACTTACCAATAAATTACCATCATCAGAGAGATCTGCAAATTGACTGGAAATTATTCTCAGTCAAATGATCACAGCTTTTTTTCTTAACAGGCCCCTAACAGAGTTCCATAAACAGTCTGATTCCCAGCTCATGTTACTACACCAAAATGTGTATCTTTGTTTCACCCACAAGAAAACCACCGTCGGTTTCACAGGACAACTGAAAGTTTCATGTCCCAGTGAATATGTGCGACAAAGCAGTCACAAATAACACGAAAAAGTGATAAATGTTTTTCTAAGAATCTCTAAATTTCGCCTCTCTTTTGTGAAAGGACAGTTTGGGTGTTTTTTTTTTTTTTTCTTCATAACACGAATGAGAAGGCTGTAAATGCTTAGGTCCTGGGAATTTAAATTAGGCTTCACTTTGGTGTTTGGTAAAAAATTGTCCTGAAATTGAAAGCGATCTTAAAGCAAAATCCTATCACTTCTGTATATCTTGACGACCAATGTAATTTCCAGTTGTTGGCACCACTTTCCGGCATCCCTCTCTGTTGGTAAGCACGGAGTTCTCCACCTCTTAATCGATAATTCCCGATGAAAACAGCGAGATTTCCTAATTTTGAAGTTTTACCAGTTCTGCCGTTTTAGACGAGCCCGTAGCGCGAGTCAAAACACACAAAAAAACAACAACAACAACAATACGAAGCAGTACTACGCACCAAAACGCTTTTATTTTCTGCCAAATGTTTCTGCTCATTTCTCATAACGCGGGAAAAGCAAAGCGGATAGAAAAGCGTAGCGCGCGCCGGCCGGTTAGATTTGTGTTTTTACAGCACAAAATAACCAACTGCACAATTTGGCAGGGCACTTTTACTCAATTCATGCGCTATTTGTACATCTACTTTCTGCAGTTGGGTAATAAAAGGCTGTTACATATTCAGTATGTCGCCGGCGAATCTTTATAAGCGAATGACCAAAAATACCGAGAACCCCCCGACAGTTACAAAATTTCGTAATTTATCTTATTTTTGCTAAAGGATCCTTTTGATGAACCCTTTTCAAAAATTATATCGAAAAGTTCTATCGCAAAGCTCAAAAGACGCCTACAACTCGAAATTTTGCAACTGTCGGCGGATTCTCAATACTTTACAAATGGTAAACATCACAGCGTACACTATGCACTCGGGAGGTTGCTAAGCACGAAAGAGGCGTAAGGGTCGCGCGAGGCGATATCCGAGAGCGACTCTAGCTTCTTGTTAGATGAATTATCAAGCAACTACCTTCAAAACCACTTTGGTACACCTATGTACGCATTTATAGCTATTCAGCATCCCTACCAAGGAGACTTAGGGGCTGATTACATGAGCCGAGCTGGCCCGGTTAGCCGGGCTGATTTCTTTTGTTTTCACGCTTTGGCGAAAACCAAAACAAAAGAAATCAGTCCGGCTAACAGGGCCAGCCCGGCTCATGTAATCAGGCCCTTACAGCACAACTGTAAGCACGTAATTATCTAATAGTACATTCAACTCATTCTACAGTAGACACAGTAGTAGTGGTGTGGACTGGACCTATTTTTTGCGATATTACGTAAGACTGCTCTATTACAGCGTGCAACACAAATAAGCGTAATACCCAGATAATGTAACTAGTTCTTACATTGAGCGATGAAGCGATTTGGATCACTACAAGTGCACAAAACCGACAAGCGTAACACACAAGAAAAATAAGGTGCTATATTTGCGTGACATTGTTAAGACAGTACATGTACAAGTAAAATTTTGGCCATTTCATTGTAACGGTTACTTTTTTCGTGACCCAAATTTGACCTGATGTTACCCACTTCCGATTATCTTAGCAGTTCAACATTCGCACTCGATACACAGTTGTGTTCCTTCCTCGCGTGACTTCTGGCCTGTAGCCACTAGCCTATTATGTTTTCAATTCTTAAAAACGAAAGTTTTCTTGCAGAAAGAAATATCTTCATAGGTTAGATCGGTGCATCACGAAACTTCAAGGAATATTTTTTTCTTTAAAGAGAGCTTTTTATCGTTTAAATCAGAGAATTATGTAAATCCGAGGGTATAATCTTTTCAGTTCTTGCCATGAAAGGTCGTGACACTACAAGTCTACAAGGACTTACCGTGACGCTATGGAAGACAGTAGAAAGCGATAAACATCTCACAATCGTCTCAGAATTGTGCGCGATCTATAACAGAAGTTTTCCTTGCAGATATATCTTAATAGGTGTGATCGGTACATCATAAAGCTGAAGGGAAAATTTTTTCTTTATAAAATAGAGAGCATTTTATCGTTTAAATCAGCAAATTAAGTAGATCCGACGATAAAACCTTTTCAGTTCTTACCTTGACACTACCAAAGACGATAAACATCTTAAAATAATTCCAGAGTAGCATCCACCGACGCATAATTGTCGCACAAGAGACTTTTTTTGTATGTTTAAGTTAAAAATCTGTCAACAAGTAGCGTAAAATAACTGCGACCCCTAATTTGTAAAACTCACCGAATTTTTGCAAAATCACCAAATTTTGGCCAATCTTCAGAGAACCCGATGTCCCGCCTCGCAGATCTCCAAATTTTGGCCAAAAAAAAAAAAACAGTAATTTTTTTTAAAAAAAACTCTTTAGCTCTCGTGATATGCAAGATATATCTGGATAAAATTTCATTTGGGAAAAAGTATTTTAGTCCGCTCGTCTAGTTTGGCGCGCGACAGCAGGATTTTCCTCGTCCACGAATTTGAGCACCGCTTTTATTCATATGTCTAAGACTCGTACCTCGGGTCCGGTTATACTGCCGGCAATTTAGAGGACACACGGCTTAAACAGGTATTAAAGCCAGCACAAGTAGTGCAAGCGTTAGCCAAAACGCAAAAGGTCAGCTGGAAAAAAGGATCGTTCTACCGTAGCATTTCGTGCGATATTTTTTCTATGAGATGGGTTTGTGACTAACATACGAATCAATCAGTGAAGTTTTGGCCGAAGGATTTTAGTTTGATGCGACTGCCACCAAAATTTGGAAAGTGGGGAAAATTCATTCCCGTGTGACCCAGCCCTTTTCCTCGCAGAAATATCTCAACAGATGTGATTTGCACAGTATGTAAGCTTTGAGGAAATTTAATTATTTCTAATTAACAGGCGAAATTAAAAGAAGCAGAGGTAATCATTGTTGGAGCCCAGGGTATAGGGGCACCATGATTATTACTATTGTTATCATTATTATCATTGTAAATACTATTACTTTGACACCATTTCCGTTATTAGTTGAATGTCAATTAGACAATTTATTCTTGAATCATCTTTCTCTTGTGAAACAGGGTACTTCTAAATACGTGGGATGCGGCAGGTTTTCTGTTTTGCATGTGACAAATATTCTGTAACACTACCCTATAGCTTCATAATATAAACTCAAGTTCCTTTCAATGCTTCGAAAGTTGTGCTGTACCAGTAGCCACACAGTCTCTGACTGTATATTTTTCTCTTTTACCGCTAATTTCCATAAGTTAATAGATTTTCGTTTCTAATGACCCTTGTCCGAACTTCTTACCTTGGTCATTAAGACCAAGAAAATCGATCAGATTTCCTGGAAATGGTGATTCTTGCTTTATAGCTTTCAATTCGTTTTTCCTCCCTAGGTCGACATCACCTAATTATACCTTTCACTCATACACTGAGAAATCCTCTAAAACTGATGCAAATGCCGTCGGGAAAATTTATCAATAAGACGGTTTAACCTCTCAAATGGACAGGTTTCCAAGTGAAGTATTTAAACAGAAAAAATTATTTGTCAAGTTTTCTCCTCTTTAGGCTTTTCGTGGCTTAACCCTATATGCCATGTTTACAATCTACTGTGTAAAGTCAACAATCATATTAGCAATATAACCCGTAGGCTAGCGCTGGCTGTTCAGATCTTGATGGCAAACGTTTTAAAGCTCGCAAAACCCATATAGACTATGGGACCCACTCTCACTGTAATGCATTTCGTTTTCCCCCTCTTAATTTGGTTCTGCCTCTCAATTCAGCCACTGTTCACTTTCTTTTCAACTATTCCTCTAAAATAGTGAAACTTCAGCTATTATGATTCAAAATTTTAGAGTAACAGAAATAGCTATAACCCTCCTGAGGGGAAGACTCTCGCAAGAAACCAAGTTATCTACTGACTGAAACACCTCCTTCTCCAAGATCTGTCCCGGTATGAAAATCGGTGAACAGCTCATATTCATTAACACCAAAAAGCTGGCCATTTCTCTGCATTCGCTCATCCATGACGGGCAGCACCGCAACGCCACACTGGGTCGCTGGTTGTCTCAGAAGCCTCCCTACAGCGCAATTGCAACTAAGAAGGGTTCAAATTTTTTTTTCTTTTAGTCTTTTTTCCAAAGGAAGAATTAGTATCATCGCTGATCAAGAAATGATTACAGGGGAGAGAACTGGG